GGAAGGAAGAAAGGGAAGGAAGGAGAAAGGAAGGAAAGAAGGGAGGAAGACAGGGAGAAGGGAAGGAAGGGAAGGGAGGAGGAAGGAAGGGAGAGAGGGAGGGAAAGAGGAAGGAAGGAAGGGAGGAAGGAAGACATGGAGGAAGAGAAAGAGGGAAAAAGAAAGAGAGAGCGGGAATAAACATGTGTTAAGTGCATACTACGTGCGAGGCACTGTGCCTGCCCCATTTGGCATCACCCCAAGATGAGTCCCAGAAGGAATGCCAGGCGCCCAAAGCTAGTCACATGGGCTCTCCCCCTGCCCCCAAGGGACCCATTAGCCACCTCTGCTCTTCCAACCAGATGAGCCCAAGACTAATTGGCAGAAAAGGAGACAGGCAAGAGTAGATGGCACAAAGATGGGGCTGCCTGCCTCATTCCTTCCCCTCACAGATGGGGGCCAAAACTGCAAGGCCACTACCACCTGTCCATCCATGAGCATACAAGACACTGCTTACACTCACAGGGCTGCGGCAATTCAATTCAATACATGTTATGCACCACTCTTGGCTGGGAAAATAGTGCCAAACTAAAGGGACTCTCTCTAACCCTGCCCTAAAGCCCCTGGTTTTGGAACAATGCCAAGGAGAGGCCTGGCCTTGGGAAGTGGGGATGGGAAAGGAAGTCTTGCCAGCAGCAGCCAGCCTGGGTCAGAACAATGAGCCCAGCTTGGCCACCTTCTGAAGATGTGCTGCAGGATCAAAAAGACAGGCATCCCAGCCTGACTCTTGTCTACTTAGAAATTACTTATGCCAATAGGAATACAAAAGGCAAAGCAGCCAATTGTGGTGCCTCAAGTCCCTTCTCAATAGACTATGGGGTGCCAAGTACTGTCATCTGCATTTGCTAAAGTTAGATGAATAGCAGGAATGCCCTAGCAAGGAAATGGGGGAAAAGAACTCAGAAACTTCTTTCAAATACACAGGCACTGAAAGAGAATGGCAACACCAAAACTCCCTTCCTCCCCTCCTTCAGCAGGCAAAACTCATGGGCACATGTGGGGACTACACTGACCTCTCTCTGGGTCATCCCTCCCTGCTATATAAGACTCAAGGTGGTGTTTGCTATCCAAACAGAAATACTCTAGTCCCTCAGTTGGATCTGTCTCCACAACCAGATTTGTCTCAGATGATGAGAGAAAAGGCTGAGTTCCAAGCTCCTTATTCTGAGCTTTGTATTCCTGGGCCCCAGGCCCTGCCCTTAAATGCCCACCATTTCCCTCCCTGCGTTGGTAAGGGTTCCTACTGGTGGAGATGTAAGTGAAAGTTTTCAAAGAGTGACCACCTGGCAAGCCACATTACCATGCTGATGCAATAACCCCTTAACTCTGAGCTTACTGGGGCCTTATCGACCCTCTTTATTCTACCACATCTCAAAGAAGTCACAGTTCAAGGGACAGCACTTGATGTTGTCATCCAGACATCAGAGCTCCACTACAGATCCTGGAAGATATGTAGTTAAGGGATATAAAACTCACAGGGATCTGGCTGAAATACACATTTACCTGGTTTGCCTGTTCTTTCCTCTGTCTGGTTCAGCTCCGAATAGCCAGGGGCACAGGGTCCCCGGAGGCTCAGACACAGAAAACCACAGACAGAAACACACAGAGAAAGGCAGCTGACAAAGACAGAGCTTTTTTCTGCCTTTCTCTTGTCTCTCTAGCTCATTGTCGACTACTTGGTTAGGTCATGGGATGTTCTCACCTCACGTTTCAGAACATTTTAGAATGTGCCCCAAAGTTAGGATAACACACTAGCTTGACACAACCCACACTTGAGACATTCCCCTAAGAGATTCCAGTAGGAAGCTGCCTCCCCAGAGGGGCCAGAATTTCTCTGACCATTTGGGGATTGGGGATTTCCTATATTACAGAAAAGTCCCAAGGCATCTCTCATGTCTCAAGAGGTGGCCAAATCCAAGAAACCTTAAAGTGTCATCAGCTACCAGACTCTAATGCCAACTTTACCCCTCATCTAACATTCAACAGTTGTCCTCAATTTCCTGATGACTCTCACTCAGCTCCAGCCCACGAGCAATGGACCTCACCTTCATGTCGGGGAAACCACAGGAAGTATTTTAAAAAGGAAGCAAAGGGACAGAGAAGGGGACTTCCTGTCCCTCGGTAGCCAACACTGCTTTGGTCGAACCACCCACCTCGGGACTTCTCCCTGGGAAACTTTAGTGGCCACTTGGGCCAGCCTTGTATAAATAAATGGGCAGAGAGACCACTCATGCAGGTGATGCTCAGCCCGTTGGGCGGAGAGAAGTTTAGCGGCAGGAAAACTTTATCCATGCATGCCCTTTGACCTGCAATAATACACTGGAAGATTTGGTGTGTGTCCCTCCTTCCCGCAGCTCCCCAAATACACAGAGCTGGGGATGTCTCAGAGGGTCATGAAATGGCAACTAGACCGATAGCAGCCTTCCAATTAGGCCCCCTCATTGGGAGGATCCCCTCTCTACTCCCTCCCCCACCCTCCCCCATGCTCACTGTGCCCATCCCGTGCCTACAGATGGCTCTTCTGTAGACTCCCCCCTCCCCCGCTCTAGAGATGCCCAGTTCGACGGTCCCTGGAGCTTTGCTCTCACTCGGCATCCCCAGGCCTCCCTGTCTCCCCATTTCCTTCCCCTCCCCCGCTCCAGGTTCGCGACTCGGCTCGGGCTCCGGCGGCCTGGCCTACCCACCGCCGCCCCTTACCCGGGTGGAGCCGATGTCCATCATCACCTCCTCGAAGGCCGCCGTCTCTTCGGCCTGACGCTGCTTCTGCAGCGCGATCTTCTCGCTGAACTTGCGCGGGTTGGCTGCCGAGGCCGCCGCCGAGGCCGAGCTCGAACCCGAACCGGAGCCCGGCCCGGGCCCGTTCGCCCCCGATGCCGCCATCTTCCCCCCTCCCCCCCGGTCCCCCCCCAATCTCAGCCGCCACCGCCGCCGGCCCTGGGCCCGGCTCCTCCCGCCGCCGCCGCTGCCGCCGCCGTCTCCTCGGCTAGCACCGCGAGCCCGACCCCCGCCTCGCCCCGATCCGCCGCGAGGGGCCGCAGGGAGTAGTAGTTTGTTTACGTGATGTCTCCCCACCCGCCGAGCAGCGGCGCTGAGAAGAGACTGACTTCATTTCCCAGCAGTACCTGCGACGCCGAGACCTAGATTCAGTTCTCTCCCCGCCACCCCACCTCTTCTCTGGGCACGCTGGGAGAGGTAGTTCTCAATTGGCTCCGAGGCTCCAGTCGAGTGGGAAGAGGCGAGGAGGGGGAGGAAAAGGGAAAGGGAGGGGAAGGCAAGAGGAGGGAAGAAGGGAAGAGGAGGGGAAAGGGAGGATGTGGGCGGGGACGGGGAGGAAAAGGATAAAGAGAAGAGTGATGAAAAATCTTGTCCCGGGAGGGAGGCGGGGCGGGGCGTGGAGGGGATGGTGGTGGTGGTGGGTGTGGGTATGTCAGAAGCAACACGGGAGCCAGAGGCTTGGGTTGGGCAACAGCTGGAAACCTCTGGAGCGTAGATTGTACACTTGCCCCTCCAGCGCTCGCTGGTGTTGGGGCCTCCTTCCCTCCCTCCTGGCTTTTCCCCACCACGGAAAACACAAAGACAGGGATATAGGAACAACTTTTATTCGGGAAGCTGATCCCGGAAGCGTCAGTTTAGTAAAATAGATTATACAGAGCACATCCCTCTCCCTCCCTCCCCTCCCATCCACCCACCCTTCTCCAAAAATACTCCTGGGAGGCGGGCCTCCAGGGCTTCTCTGGTACAAAAAGAGTTGAGGCAGTTCAGCCTTTGGCACCTGGGCAAGATCACCAGGCTCGATACTCACCCCCAGCCCCAGAGAGGGTGAAAGGTCTGGAAATCAACAGCAGGCAGCAGCTCTCATTTAGCTGCCCGGCAAGGCCCAATACCGATGTGCTTTGTGAAAAGGGGGAGAGGGGTATTTGGCACTTTATAGGAGGAATGGAAGTTCAACTGAGGGCAAGGAACTTGGCTTGTGGATGTCATCAGTCATCATGCCCTCTAAAAAGTAAACATTGAGAAGGGGAGGGGGCCAGAAGAAGAAAAAAAGGGACTTCTCCAGGAGAGCACAGGAATGGGATAGAATCAATACCCCTAAGGACTCCAGATTCCTTTTCCATTCCTCACTCTCTGATGGCCCTACCCTTAGTGTTTCAGTCCTTGTATTCTATCACCTGGTCACACGTCCCTTTGTCTTGTCTAGTGTTTTTCTAAGTTTTCTTCTCCCCTCTTCACCTCCCCCTACATTCCTGGGGAGTTTTATCTGTTCTTTGTCTCATGTTCCACTGGTCATTCTCTGGGGTCCTAACAACACCCACCAATGCACTCCACCCCCCTCCCCCATCATATGCACTTTCAGCTCCCAAAGCCCCCATCCCTCAGAGGTGATTTAAACACGAATAAAAAGCAGACCAGTGAGCAGGGCAAAACCAGCCAGAAGTAGGATGACCTTGAGGATCCTCTGCTCAGAAGCAGCCAGTTCCTGGGGCAAGATCTCCAGGAAAGTGATATAAAGGAAGGTGCCTGCTGCCATGCCTTCTAACACTGACTGTGCCAGCTGGTGCAGAGGCCCTGCTGACTCTGCCAGTGCAGCCCCCAGCCCGATACCCAGTGGTGTCATGCAGGAGAAAAGGACCCCACAAATGGCTACCACTCCAGCTCGCAGCCGGCTCTGCAGTAGCCGTAGGGACAGACTGACAGCTAGTACCCCTTTGTGCAAGAGCAGCGCCAGACACAGCTCCATTGCCCGGGCTCGCTCCCGCTGCAGCCCCACAGCGAGCCCTTCAAATACTGAGTGTAGGGAAAGCGAGAAGACCAGGACACAGGCCCTTAAGGCTGAAGGGGTAGGAGAAGTCCCATCAGCCATGGGTCCATCATGCCAGTGGGGAGGTGCACTGCCCGATGTGCCCAGGAGTGCTCGAGTCTCCTCTCTTGGAAGGGGCCCTGATTGCTCTTTGTAGGCTAGCACAATCTGCTCCATCACCAGAACCAGAAAAAAACCCATGGCGAGAATGAACTCCTGCAGTGGGAACTGAAGCTGTGGAGGAAAGAAAGGGGGGAAAAAGCAATAAGAAGCAGCTTCACAGGTCTAAGGAGAGATAAGTCGGAAAGAAAAGAGAGGGTACTGAGAAGATAAAGGGCTAGGATACCACAATATTTCGACCTGGGTTTGCCCATTCCCCTGCTACCCTTGACACAGACCTAAGTTTTGTCTCTGTCTTGGGCTTCTTCTTTCCTTCACCTCCTACATCCTAGTTAGAAGTTGCTTTCTGGTCTCTTCCTAGCCTTCCCCAGCCCTCCCTTCCCATTCCTCTTGGCCATTGTAGTAGAAAAGGTAGAGAGAAGAGCATCAAAGGTGAGACTGTCAAGCACTATTTACAAACTTGGAGGTCAGAATAGGGCCACATACACAGAAGGCCATATCTATACTACACTTTTGGAGCCATGCACAACAAAGATTTTAAACAAACACAAATACACAAAAGCCTTATAAGTCACAGACAGGGTTACAACACACATGATCACAGGATCTCACAAACTTGAGCAAATCACATGTGGCCAAAAACCTGTATACCAAGAATCATGTCTACTACACCACCCTCCCTGGGGCCTAGGTACTCACAGTGATTCGGAGGGCACTCAGGGCCTCATCTATAGCAGACAGGTAATCTGGAAGCAAGTCCAAGAGACAGGTGGCCAGAAAAACACCACCTGCAAAGCAGCTCACCAGGCTCAGGATTTTCTTTCTGGAGGCTATGGGAAGGGCAGGGGTGACCAGAGAGAAACAATCAGTTTTTAAGCCTTCCTCCAGCAGCAGACATCCCTGGCCCTAGCCTGAAGTCTCAGGAACCTCTTCTATTTCTGATAGTTCTTGAGTAGTTCTCACCCCAAAGCAGTCCTTTCCCCTCTCAGTTTGCCCTCCAAGCCCTCAATCGTCTATCATAACTCCCCTAGATCCTTCTCTTTGTAGCTCCCAGAATCTACCCACCCTCACTCAAACCTAACCCCAGAAGTTGCCATGGCATGGGGGGGAAGGAGGGAGAAATGATCCAACCTGAGGCCTCGAAGTTGGCACTGGGACGTCGAAGCACGCAGATAGGCACTAGGCTGCAAAACAGGGTGAGCACCAGCAGCACCACCAGGGCACCCATCTTTACCTCCAGCCCCACAGGCACTGCAGGCACAGCTTCTGGACGCCACACCAGCCGTTCTGGCTCTTCCCAGGGCACCATGGTGGTGGCAGCTTGGAGGGCAGGGGGTGCCTAAGTTCCCCGTCCACACCTGTGAAATTCCTTGACCTGGTAAAATATATGTGGAAATAGGGAGATTGGGAGAGGTACTGGGGGGTTGCTGGAAGAGTCAGCTGAGTGCTACCCCTCCACCCCACTCCACCCCAGTTACTTCCTGACCTCCACACCAAGCTGACTCACCCCTTTCCAGGAACATTCCTCTCTTCCCTAGGACTTTATTCCTCCCGTGACCTCTGCAGGGGCCCAGCAAAGGGGGGGGGGGAGAAACTGAGGCATGGAGGAGCGATCAAAACATGTAACATCACACTAGGGATTTATATCCCCTTTCCCCTGGGGCTTCCAAATAATGAGCGGAAGAATGCAAGAAGGTCATAACCCAAAAGAAGCCCGACCTCCACTGTCCACTCTACAGAGGGGTCCAAAAACCTTTAGGATAAAGGGATGAGAACGAGTAGACACAGGAGGAAGGGAATAGTCCTACAGTGTAGTCAGCCAGAAGTAGGGAAGAAGTTTTCTAGGGGCGTTAGGCTTCCCTCTCTCCACCCCAAATCCTGGGAAGACGAATTCCCTCTCCCCATCCTAGTGAGTCTGAGTGAGAAAGGGGAGTTTGGAGAGTGACAAATGCTGGAAGGAGAAAGGGGGCCAGAGCTCTGCCAGGAAGACAACAGTGGGGTGGGCCAGGGGTGCGGGAGGGGCCTGGGAAGCCCAGGGAAGCTGCCTGGGGCCGCTAACGCTAGTCCCAGGACCCAGGGTTGGGGCGGGGGTGAAGAGCAGGAGAGGAAGGATCGGAGGTTGAGGCTCGAGGTCCCTGCCACCCAGGGGGCGTAGGAAGCCGGGAAAGCAGGCTCCAGTAAGCCGAGTCTCGGCCTGGGACAGACCGCACTCACCTCGCAGGGGCCTCGCTACATTGCATCCGCTCCGTTCCGGCCTCCAGCCGGGAATTCCCGCCCCCTCCCCACTTCCCCGCACTCGGCTTCCTCTGACCAATGACATCGAGGCGGGGGCGGGGCAAGACCAGGAGTTACGTTACCCTAAAGCAATCAGAAATAGCCTGGGGAGGAGGGGAGGGGGGAGAGAGCGGAATGGGGGTGGGGCCAACAAACGACCTGGGGCCAAACACCCCTGGGAGCTTACCTGATTCCTGGGCAGGCTGATTTTCCAGTATGATCTCTCGTCGCTGTCTGGTCAGAAGCACTGAGGAATTTCAGTTCTTTTATTTTTTTAGAGGGGCTACTGAAAGACGAGGTGCGCTTCCACTACCCCAACTCAAGACCTCTTTTTGGAGGATGGAATTGCTTTTGTCTGCAAAATTCCAGGCACATAGTAAGCGCTTAATAAATGCTTGTGAGTAGACTGATTGCCTGGTTGCTATTCATTCAAGAGCCCCATTCTACTACTCCTGTGTGGAAAGATACCTTTGGGGAGTGGGTGCTTTTTATAGCCTCGTCCTGGGAAGTCTGGGTCTCGGCAGAATAAAGGGAAGTCTTCAGTCAAACGACATGACCACGAGAAGTCTTGGGACACAGAGAAAAAGCAAAGCTAAGTTAGGAAATCCCCTTCTCGGAAAGATTTACTAACTTGCAAAGAACGACCCGAGAATTTGTGAATTGGTTGGTACTGGGCGCTTTCAATGTGTCTGTGTGTGTTCCCTGTCTGCCATTGCCTAGGTGATTTGGTTAATAAGACCTAAGGACTTACCTGAGACACAAAGAAATAAGGACAAGTTTATCTTGATTTGCTTAATTATTTGCTTGCTTGACATGTTACACCCCTTATGTACTTTACATTAATCTCTGGGGTAGCCTCCATTTCCTGCCTTTCCTTTCTATACAAATGGGATGCCCTTCCCCATTTTTTAATTTGTAGCTCTTGCTGATTCTCGAGGTATAAAATGCTCCACATTTTTTAAAGTCCAGAATAAATACCATGTCCTCCACAAAGCCTTCTTCTCTTCCTCCTCCCAAGTGTATAATAATCTTTCCCCCTTCAGACCTCACACCTCAGACGTTATTTTTAATTTTCCTTATTTGTCTGTATTCCTCAGATGGATTATAAATTCTGAAAGTAGCTCTCAAATCTTATTTAAACTACACTATCTCCTTCCTCCCTACCCTTTACAAATTACCACCTTTAGCAAGTGATTTAGCCAGGGGCAACTGGGTGATGGGTGAATAGAGCCCAGGCCCAGGAGTCAGGAATTCAATTTGAATTCATATCTGACCTCAGATCCTTACTAGGTATTCGATCCTGGGTAAGTCACTTAACCCCAGATTGCCTTTAAAAACATACACGGTAAGTTAGCTCGGTAGGCCCTTAGTAAATTTAAAGGATGAGGTGATTACTTACTCAACTCCTCTTAAAGTAAGTGATAACAAGCTCTAACTAGATTGACTAGGCTAGAGAATCCGCTCAGGATTATCTAGGTCCTAGGGCAGGGATCCTTAATCATTTTTGTGGCCCGGTGGCAGAGGTGTGCCCTGAGCCAGCTCTAACTAGCTCCCAAGGGCCCACGGCTAAATTTATAGAGTGTGCATTTACACTTAGCATGTACTTCTCAGGAATCAGAAAGAGCTATAAAATTAGGGCTTGATTTGGAATGATGAGTTGTTAAAACATTTATCAAAACTTTTGACAGTCTGGTGAAGCCTATAGACACCTCAGAATGAAGTTTTTTAATTCGGTAAAATACATAGGATTATAAAGTAAACTATAATTTGAAATTGGTGTACAAAAATTTTTTTTTTAAAGTTCCCAGACCCCAGGTGAGAAGCCCTGCTCTAGACATCATCTATAAATGAAGCATGTAGAGAAGGGGGTAATTCCAGAGGCTGGAGCTGGCTCTTGTCTCTCTGGCACAGTTCTGAGGAAGAACCACAGCTCCTTGGAGGAGAGGAGGGTGAAGAAGCCTAGGCTTTGGCATCCCAGAAACAGGAGGGACTTCAGCAACCATCAGCTGTGAATGACCTTTTGCCAAATGTTCTCTCTAGGCTTGAGTTCAATTTCCCCCTGGACCCTTGTATGTTTTTGTGGGAGTGTGACAGACTTTTGGGAGATGTTTTGTACTAATGTAAGGTATTCCCTTAGTAAATATCTCTTTCTAAAATTTACTCAAGGCTTAAATGATTCTCAATTGATAATCTGGAAGTGGGGGGGGGCAAGACACATCGATAGGGCTTAAACTCATGAATTTAGAGAATCACCCTTGACTCCTCAGGGGTACCCCTAGAACCCTGAAAGGGGATGTGTAGCCAAGCTCTTCAGACCCACCTCATCAGTGGGAGTGAAACTTGGGATGTTGGCCACAAAATACTTATTAAATGCAATTACACATTACCAAAAAGGAAGCCTTTTGAAACTGAAACATTTAACCACATCCAGGGCTCCAGGGAAGGTTTCAGAAATGGCAGTTCTGCTAGGTGCTTTGCATTAATCTGAGAAATCCTTTGAGAAATCTTGATTTGGAGTATTAAAGGTGAGTCACATAATGAGCATGAGAAAATCCAAAGGCTTCCCCTAGCATTTCACAGCCAGATTTTCAGAATGCTAATTGATAGGAGTTTAAGATCCAGGATCCCTCCCCTTCTGCCCCTCCCTACCAAACAAAATTTCTCTGAGGGCTTATCTTTTTTTTGGCTAGGCAATGGGGTTAAGTGACTTGCCCAGGGTCACACAGCTAGTGAGTATCATGTGTCTGAGGCTAGATTTGAACTCAGGTCCTCCTGACTCCACAGCCAGTACTCTATCCACTGCACCACCTAGCTGCCCCTGAGGGCTTATCTCTTACTCAACTTATCACCCATTTTTCACAGACTTTTGGGGACCCCAAGCACCTTTGACTACTGTTTGGCTCAGGGTGTGTGCACAGGCACTTTCAGGGGAGTGGTATGGCTTACATCTCTGTTCATATATCCATAATATCCATTATTATGCTTGCAGTGAATTCCGTCAAATATGAAATGTCCATAATAAAAAGCAGAGACTGAAATATGTTGTTCAAACCATTTACAAATGAATTATTTACCATTTTGGATTTCCCAAACCTCTGTTCCCCTCCATTAGTCTCAGTAACCGAGTTTATCTTCAAGGCTGCTGCTTATTAAGGAGCATAAAACGGCACTGGTTCCATAGGAGGAGGAGCCAGCCTGTTAGCATATGGCTATCTGCCTGATTATTACAAAGTGTGTCCTGTGGCTAAAGACAGAAGTTATATATGCCCCAGTGATAACCGAAACTAGGTCACGTGGAAGATTCTTCTCCTTCCTTCCCACCTCCCACTCAAAAACTTCTCCTTGGCTTCATTCCAACTTCTCTGGCCCCGCCTCCTCCCCATCCAAGGCACCCAATTCCTTCCTGACAAATAAGTGTTCCCACCTCATCTGTCTGAGTTCTCCCTCCAGAAGCCTATTAAAACCAACTGGGGGAGTGGCGGTTTATCTGTTGTCGCCCCTTGAAGAGACGAGTGAGTAAAATAAATATAGGGCAACACGATTGGCTGGAAAAAGATGTCCTTCAAAATCCTAGGGTTTTTATTTTGTTGTTTGTTTGTCTGTTTGTTTTAAACAGCAGACTCTCTACAAAGAACAAAGCAAAGGCTAAAAGAATGAGGGGTACCATGAAGCCTATGAACTTTCCAGCTCGTTTCAACCAACACTGTGGACTCCTAAGGACTATCGTTCCAGTACCTAGGGATACTGAACCCCTACTAAAGCCTACTCTTCCCTTCCGGTGGTGGGGAGAGAATTCCTAGCCCCTGGGATCAGGAGAGCCCCCCATACCAGAAGCAACTGTACCTCCCAGCCTGACAGGTCCTGATTTTGAGGCAGAAGAGGAAACTGAGGCATAAAAGATATGCATGCATAATCCTTCTCTGAGCCACAGGTCCAAATCCTGGGGATCTCTTTCCTAGCCACCACCCCTTTACCAATGCTCCTGAAGGGGGCGGGGCTGGGTGTTGGCAGATCCAGGATGTGAGATCCTGGATGAAAGAAAAGGTATAGTGTTTGGGGCCTGCCAGACAGCAGGACAGAATAGGTAATGTCCAGGGGTCCTGCTTTACCGAACTGGCAAACAAGCCAAGGGAAGTGAACAGGTAAGGGGAAGGGGGAGAAGTTGACTGGGTGCAGGGGAGAAATCATCTGGGGGGGGGGTTGAAGGAAAAAAAGGAGAGGATAGAGAGAATTCTCACCCTTCCTCCTACTGCCCTCCATTAAGAGGATGGAACTTGGCGACCCAGAACTGCTGGATATCTTGTTGGAACCTTCAGAAGACATAACCATAAGGGCCTTCCCAGAGCTGGCAGGCCCCTCCTCATTCCAAGAGCCAGAGCAAACTGGACTACAAGATCCAGGGCTGGAAGGCTGGGAACCTGGTGGGAGCAGCAGCTGTGTGAGTGTGAGGGCTGGACAGAAATAGTGGGGGAAGGGGAGCAAAAATGGGAGTGGATGGTATAGCCCAAAGAGGAGAAGGCTGAGTAAGGAATAATGGAGCTCTTGGCTCAAAAATGGCCAGTAGGTAGCTTCTCTAGATCAGGGATGAATTGTCCTATTGCTTCCCACCTCCACAGAAGAAAGCAGCTGAAACTGTAGCATTAGATGTTCTGGGCAGACTTTGGAAAGATTTCCTAGTTCTA